CGTTTTTTCCTTCACCTCAGCAACATCAGCAAAACGCTTTCCTTTCATGTCTCTTTTCATTCGAGGAAACAAAAAAAAGTTTTGATCATTTCAGGACTCTTCTTTCAAAGCACAGCATGCTTCCACGTGACCTTGTTTTTGTTCAGCAGTCAGCAGTCATGGCACGAATTTCGCAGCCACCCTTTTCATTCCCAAATCTTCTGTAAAAATTGGCTGAACTGAGCTCCAAGTCACTCCCGACAGCTCCACAATTTCTTCAGTGGTCCGTCATCGATCTTCCTTGATGAGTTCACGAATTTTTTCAACATTTTCATGTGTTCGGGCCATGGAAGGACGACCAGAACGAGGTTTGTCATCAATTGACATTTCACCATTTTTGAAACGGGAAAACCACTCAAACACTTGAGTTTTCCCCATAGCATCGTCCTTGTATGCCATTTTTAACATTTCAAGAGTTTCTGTTCCACTTTTCCTGAGCAAAAAGCAGAATTTCACCGCCACACACTGTTCATGAAAATCAGCCATTGCAAAAACGACGATCACACAAAACAGTTGTCACTATAAACTCTGCCGACACAAGTCCTTACCTTCTGAAGCAACGGTAGTTATCTTATCGACTCAGGAATGTTAGCTCTATGCCCTCATAGCGCCAAAATGCAGTACTACAAAAGCTCTGCCCACAAAAAAATTAGTTCGGTTTCTTTTGGGTACCCCATCGTATGATGACAATACTTAAAGGACTTGCAGGAAATAATGTCCAGCATTGCTTTCAGACATGTCAGAGGCATTGGAATCTACTTATAAAATCAGAAGGCAAGTACTCCAAAGGTGACCACACTGCCTAATGGTTAGTGACTATCATTATTCCTTTTCCCTATTTGTTGCGGTTATTTTCATCTCAAACCTCATAGAGCATTGATACTTTTTGGGGTATTCTTATCTTATTTGTATTATGAACTTGAGGGTACTTCTTATACTGAAAAGTAAGAAAACATTCAAATGGCTTCTTGAAGAGTGTGTTTCTGGCCACCCATCTTATAATTTGGAGCTTTTCAGCACTGATTAATGCATTTATTGAAGGTTCATTTGGAAGTTTCAGTTCCACTACTAATTCATTTCTAAGTATTTCTTTTATAAATTTTAAATATGTTTTATAAATATTTGTTATCTCTGACACTGTTAGATGGGACAGAAATATTTATGTGAAGTACCAGTGTTGCAGACAATATGAATAGGATAGAGGAACCAGATGTAGGTTCTGTTGCAGGTTGTACAGTATATTGTTGATCACTTCATTTTAATAGAAAAATTTATGAATGAATTTCCAATTCAAATAGTACATTTAGTATGAATCTTAACAGTTTCTTTGTGTACTTATATGTTCATTGCTTTAAATGCATGAAATTAATGTATTGCAGTGAGGTTGCATTCTGTCTGCATATATACTTGTATTACCAAATCTGCTGAACATATTACACATTTAATTCAGTAGTTGTGGGATAATGGAAGTTGCTGGCAATTTTAATTTCAGTTTGTATAGGTCCAGTATAAAAATAACTCACCTGTTCAATTGATATTGCATATAATAGAAGTGGTACATGACAAAAAATATAGTGCCATGGAACACACTTCTGTGTGAGAAGCTAGTAGTTTGCCTAGGTAGCCAATAAGTTCCCTGCTTATATACGTTTTTCACTTTTAAACATGGCAGACCGGTCACGTGTTAATACCTTTTTAGAACATGATAAGTTGTAACACACTATACATCGCTGCCTGCAGCTGCGTGATAAGCCTCTGGAATGTTTGCTGACTAATCAGTTACATGACCTCGCTGTAACTGTATGCCCCTGCAAAGGAAAATAAATGCATTTATTTCTTCAAGCTGTATGTAGCAAGCTGTCAGTGAGTAGTGCAATATGGATCAAGGACGAATCTGTGATTCATTAGAGGGGAAGGCTTCATATGCGAACATATAATCCTGGGAAACTTACAAAGTATGGCCTACTTGTTCATGTAGTTACTGAAAGCACTTCAGGCTATATTGGAAATTTAGAAATTTATTCTGGTGAAGGAAAGAAATTACAAGAAACTATTCTTTCCATTTTGGAACCCTGTCTTGATCAAAATTACCATGTCTATCAAGACAATTATTATAACAGTGTGGCAACTGCAGAACACCTACTTTCGAGAAAAGTACTTGTTTGTGGAACAATTAGGGTGAACAGAGGCCTTCCTCCAGATCTGAAAGAGGAATGTAAATCCCTGAAACGTGGTGAAACCACATTCAGGAGGAAGGGGGATATTCTTCTTCAGTCCTGGAGGGATACTCTTGTTGTGAATATGATTTCCACAATTCACAATTCGAGCATGGTTAATGTTCAAAGAAGACATGGACAGGTAAAGAAGCCTGTTTGTATTTCCAAGTATAATATGTTCATGAAGGGAGTTGATAGAGCCGATCAGTACTTGGCCTATTATTCTCTTCCTCGGAAAACAGTAAAGTGGACAAAGAAAGTTGCCTTGTGGCTTATAAATTGTGCCATTTTAAATTCATTTTTGGTTTTCAAAAATCTAAACCCTCATTCAAAATTGAAATACAAGGCATTTCTGCTGAATATGGCAAAAGCCTGGACTACAGACCACACGGTGATGGCAGAACCGGCGGCAGACACAGTCTTAGTGCGACCGAGCCCATCTACTCCCACCCCATGCAGGTCTCATTTTGACCCCCCCTGGGCGACTCTCAGGTGATATGCGGAAACATACCCTCACAAAAATTGTGAAGAGTGAACATTTCACGGGGAAGCATCCTTCTAGGCAATGCCGTGTTTGTGCAGTTCACAAGAAAAGGAGTATGACTGTCTACATTTGCAAGTTTTGTGTAATTCCACTTCACAGAGGGGAATGTTTCGAGAAATATCACACCCTCAAGCACTTCTGTGACCATTGGTAAGTGGTCTGAAAAGTTTTTAGTTCATAAAATTAATTAGGAGATTTTATATTAATTTTTAAAGTGAACAGTGCACAAGTTAGGGTATTAGGTAAAAAAATACCAGTCTCCAGGGTGATTTAAATATTTAAATTGCTGGTCCGCAAAGTGTTAAGATCTGTAATTACCCCTTGTCAGCTGCCTCCAGCTGGTTATTCATTATATTCCCAGCCTCTGTCATGCATCCATCCTGTCATTAGGGTTTACAAGTTTTATGTGGAACTTTTTTCTTAATTTTGATATGATGAATCTTTTACAGAATACAGAGAATACAGAATTATTACATGCTTTCTGAAAGTTTTGGAGCACACTTTCTACTCCTGTCTTGTCCATGTATGAATTTATACAGATATTGTCTCTTGCATGCTCTGTAGTGACTCCCAGCATGCTACCAAAATTGGCTGCACTGGCTCCTAGTTGGTGTGACTACTTTGGGGGCAGCCAAGCATTGGAAGATCTGATAGTCCACCTAGCTCTAGGCTGTGAGCAAGGAGGAACACAGATACTGAAGCTCCTACTGGATGCAGCTTCTCCATTGGATTATTCAACTACTGCAGCTCCTGATTCTTCAGTCAGTGCATCTGTAAAGAGTACCAGCAGGGAAATACTGGGTAATGAACATATTCTGTAAGTTAATTGTAGTTAGTTTTAAAGTAAGTGGTCTGTATCATAATTTTATATTCCTATATGTTTCTTTTGAGATTAAGTAAGCCTAGAAATTCCATTGTGATGTCTGTGTTTGGTCAAAATATTTGACTGACTTCATGAAACAGAGGCTTTTAAAAAATTTAAATTTAAATTGAAGATTTTAAATACCAAAATTCAAAAATCAAATTGACATATGTAAATTAACAAAGATTTTATACATATCTGACAAATATCAGCAAGAGGATTCTGATATATCAGGACCTAATAACACCGGAGAAATGAACAATTAAGAAAGCTGTTGTTTTTAAATTTTAAACTACTGCAGTGTAACAGCTACATGAGAGTATATGCCTGATGATGGCCATTTATGGCTGAAACATGTAGTGTAGAAGAAAAGAAGACAGAAGAACTACAATAAATTGTTGCACTTAGGACGGAGTTTGTGTCATACATTGTGTAGAGTGTAACAGGATGCTTAAATATAATATTGACCCAAAAAGTTATGACTTACCAGCCAGAGTGACAAAGAAATGTTGGGTAACCATGTAGAGTATAGGATGATGGCCTTTGAGACAGAACAGGCTAGTAAAAGCCTACCTTGAAGCAGGTGTTGGTGGTTCCTTAGGATAGCCCAGCTTTGAACTGAGATTTAAACCAAAAATTTCTGAACTGTGAAGTAGGAACGCTAAGTACTTGAACATGATGTTAAGTCTGCAGTATTTTTCAGTGAGATTGTTGCTGATGGCTGGCATGCTTATCTTTAAGTGGTTCCCACCTGTGTCTTCCCTGCTCTGGTTAAGTCACATGTACCAATTGTGTTTAGACATTTTGTTAAGCAATGATATGTGAAGAAAATGAACACTTTGCTTGTTTATTGGCTGCATCTGAAACATTAACGATTTTCTATTATGTGACCTCTTGCTTTTTTATGGTTCACATGGCATTTAATAATAAAGTTCACTTGTCTCCATTTTTCTTGAATTGAGTGCCCTTTATTCATTGAACTTTGGATACAGTAGTGCACTCATGTAATTCTATTTCTTTCTGCATAATTTTCAGTTAGTTAAATATTTAAAAGACACAAGAAGTCCTGGAAATTCTCTCTGTATAATTTAGAACACTGATTATTCAATTTATGTAGGATGCTTGTAGGAGAAATAAAAATACATCTTTTTTCCCTGTAGATCACATCTATGATGATTTTTTTATGTATTTCAGAATTATTGCTTCAAGAAATAGATCACCTGCTCCGTAGCACGATGCCTGGGGCTTGCTCTATTCCACTTTTATGTTCCATCAAACAAGAAGTGACTGTTATTCAACCACTCCTGTTGAGTGGAGATCCTCTGCATGTTCAAACAGCTGTGAGGCTCTTGGGTAAGGTATATATCTGTGTGTATGTGTGGGTATGTGCATGTGAACATGCATGCCTTTTTGCTGGTCACTGATCACTGTCATCCTGTTAGCTGGAAAGAAATTCCTCTTTATATAAAGCATCTACCACTGTCAACAGTTTCAGTAAATGTTGCCAGCTTCTCTGTTTTTTTTTTTCAGTAGAAGATACAGCATTCTGTTGGCAGTGTTGCTTCATGTGTGGTTTACTTTTATAGAAGACCACACAAATTAGTACTCTTCTCTAGTTCATATCTGGAAGTTGGTGAGGACAAGTTCATCACATTCTTTAACTAACCAGCTAACCAACCAGTAAACTTCATGGAGCAGAGTCCTTCTTGAAAAGTTCAATTGCCTAGCTAGTCAAAAATACCTTCCTTTCTATGGGACTGGAAGATACATTACCATATTCACAAAAGCCTGCCACTGGTCCCCATCCTGAGCCACTTGAATCCAGTCCACATCTTCATGTCTTATTTAAGACTAATTTTATTATCCTACCGTATATGTCTGGGTCTCATAAGTAGCCTCTTCCCTTCGGGTTTTCTGAATAAAGTTTTGATTGCATTTCTCTATCTCCTATGAGAGCTCTATGCCTCTTTCATTCATCATTTTTCTGATCACGTCAACTCTGATGAACAATGTGCCATATTCACAAATGAGCTGCAAAGTGCATTGAGGTTGAAGGTGGAATTTTCAAAAACTTGTAAAGTTTGTGTAACTTGTTTTTCAGTATTTACTGTACACCATTCATAATGCTGATATTGAAATTTTAAATGTTAGGTAGTAATTTGATTTTTCTTTATTAACATTCACAATGCTAATGCAAATAGCCATAACTTCCTAACCATTTAGAACTGGATAAACGTTCCTGTGAACTTTTTCACTTCTAATTAATTACCTCTACTGTCATCTCCCAAAGTAGTGAGATTTCCTCCTGAAACACACTGTGTAGGGAGTTTTGATGGGAATTACAACAATAAGAAAAAAATTTGATGTTCTTACTTTGTTCACTGAACATTTTACACCATTGTATCTGAATATTTAAGAACTACCTTACAGGAATTAGCAGTCAAAACAATATTTCTTGGGATTAATTCTGTTTCTTTGTATCTTACAGAGGTGAAATTGCATGAACTGTGTTGATTCTGATCTGTCATGACTTTGAGTGGCATTGTTAGTACAATAGGCATACTGTCTAGCACCTCTAATCTACATCCTCTGAACTGTTTATAGGACTGTTGGGCTATCATAGTACAGCAGTACTAGTCAGTTCAGCTGCATTCTTACTGCAGAGAGCTTCTACTGATGGACACTTGGTAGCACTAGTGAGGCTTGTAACTGGAGGAATTTGTAATAGTACATCTGCATCACAGCTTGAGCAGGTTTGTATTAAATTAATGTTTTTGTAGATATATATATATATATAAACCATAAATCAAGGGGCATCAAGTGGGAGGTCTGCCATATATATATTGTAGCGTGTTTTGTGTGTCACGCTACAAATAAATTCCCGTGGGTCTCAGATTCTGTAGAACCTTTATTGTTCTTCAGTTATACACTCACACGCTTTACAATTGCTATTCACTGTAACACCTCAACTGTCTTCTGTGGCGGATGCTCCAAGACACTCTACTTCGAAGGCTGGATAAAGGCTTTCTTCTAAGAAGGCTGGATGAAGACTTTCTTCTAAGAAGGCTGGATGAAGACTCACTTCTTAGACGGCTGCTATCCCAAGACTGACTGCTTCTCGTCGAAGCTGGGCTATTTATAACCTCGGCCACTGCTATGCAAATGAATCCTCTGTTATAGCAGTGGAAACGTTGCTTTGTTGATTCCGCGTTTCCTACGCAATGACCCATTGTTATTGCGTTGTCTCTGTGGGAACGCTTCGCGTATTCGTCGTAACCGTGGAGATTCGATGTTCTCTACACAACGGCTCACTGTTGGGATTACAGTGCCGCTATTGTTACTTCCTATGCAACGGTCTATTCTAGTGTTTCCATAGAAGCGACTCTTCTGGATTCCAGACACGTTACAATATAATTTAGTCCTCATATCAAATGCTACCTGAAGAAATGTAACTGTGGGTTTCATTGCTTATATTAAAATTGAAAATTGCTTATGGCTTCATCAGTCATGGCAAGTATTATAGATTTTGGGAAGGCTGCCATATCAGTTCAGTGCTAATGTTAAAGCTGTTTCCATGTAGATGTAGACTGTGTTGTCATGAATCTTATAGATCCAGTACAAACATGGAACATATTGATACAGAACAAACACAGTATAGCGAAGAGAGAGCACAAACAGCTTCTTTAGTTAAAGCATTGTATTTGCCTCCTCACGCAGGGAGATGCTGCTGAAATTGCTGCTGTGAAAGCCCTGTAAGACAATATAAGTGAGAAACTTGTAATGATGGTGCTTCCATAATGGTGCATTGACATTCATTAAGTATTATTCATATTTTTTTCTAGGAGAATGGCTGCTATTACAAGACTGGTTGCTTGGCTCAGGCTTTAGAGCAAGCAATGAGGAGCAATGCTGGTTGTGTTCTGGGAGATGAGGGAGCAATTCAGCCTCCACCAGAGCAGCTTTGGCATAATGTGGCCCACCTGTTAAGGTACTGTAACTTAAAACTTTTCACAGTAAAAATAAAGGTAAAGCTGTTGTTCCTGCATTTAATTAAGTACTATGCCATACGGCAGTGAAAGACTGGAAGTATGTCTGCACACATTCTTAGTCTTGTCATTAGATGGAGGTTAGTAGTCAGCCTCATGTCTCGGCTGCTTTGCCCCCGGGTAAAGAGCTCTCAGTACTCATTGAATAGGATGCTGGGTGTGCCCTAAGCAATGAGTAGTGAAGGAACAGTAGTTACTTCTGACTGTAATTATTTCTGGATTGTGTAGAATAGTGAGAACGTCACAGTTATTTGCACCTACAAATAATAATAAGTTAACAAATTTGGTTATTATTTCATACCTTGTGCCTCATCACTAACACATAACAGTATATTCCTGCATTGAGACAATTTAATCTGATTATGAAGAAAGCCGTCTTCTGTGATGTGGATCTGTGTAGAAATTGTGTTAACCGACATTTTGGAGGAACATATCGCCTTCATCTTCAGGGTAGAAGACAAGAAATCTGTGAGCGAACCAGGTGCACCTGCTCAAGCTAGTTTGCTCACGTATTTCTTCTAGTCTTCTACACTGAAGATGGAGGCGATACGTTCCTCCGAAACATCTGTTAACACAATTTCTACACGGCGCCATATCCCAGAAGATGGCTTTCTTCAGAGTAACCACAGTGAAAACCTCAAATCTTACATAATCTGATTATATTTTATTTTCCTTTATAGGTGGGAACACAGTGGCAAGGCACCATCCCTTCGAGGTGGTTTGATATCTCGTGCAGTCAGATGTAATTTACAGGAAGTCTCGGATCGTCTGTGTACTGTTTGTGACCCTAACTTGGCTTGTGACATCGCTGAGGTCCTAGATTTGACCATAGTAGCAGACAGGTCTTCTCATGATGTTTATACAGTCAACATACAGCTCACTCTTCTTATGGCCAAGGCTGTTGTTGCATATTTCTTCCTTTGTGTATCAGAGAAAGGTTTGTTCCTGCATCTTTATGAATTGAAGTCACAAGCTACATTTTGTAAGGCAACTTGAGGGTCATCCTTCAGCAGTTGATAGCTATATGGGTGGCAAAATAATTCTATGCTTTCGTGGTATACAATAGTTCATCGCCGTGTTCATAAAAGGTGTGCTGTTAGATCCTACCTATTATATAATTCAGTTCACTTTGCGCTTTCACAATTTGTTTTGCCAAAGGTGCAGTATATTATTTTCCTGACTTCTATTCAAGGTTTCCAAACGGTGTCGTCCTTTGAAGTTTTCAACTGCAAAATGTGTGTTTTTCTTATTTCCTGTATTCTCCATGAATGTCATTCTTTCTAGCAATATAGTGTATTTCAGGCATTAAGTTTTCCCATATAAGAAGTTTGGTTTTTCAAAGCCCTGCCAACGTTTTCATGGAAAGAGTATGCGGGGAATTGTAACTGCAGAAACCTAGCAAAGACCCAAAATTTATGTCCGATCAGCTTCTTGTCCACTACAGGCGGACTGCTTGAGAAGTTGATTTTAAGAACAATCCAAAAACACTGAGGAAAGAAACTTACTAAATGTAAGTCACTTTGGTTTTCAAGCAGATCATGGTATGACACTTGAATGTATGAGGCTGGTGGATCACATCACCCTAAATTTCAGCAACAGTATGTCGATGGCTTCTCTGTTCTTGGATATCAAGAAAGCCTTCGACACAGCATGGCCTACTTAATAAATTGTCATAATTAGAGTTTCCAACAAGTCTCATTAAGCTAATTGCTTCTTTTCTCACTGACAGAAACAGACCATATAAATTCAAATGCATGCAGTACTGGACCAGGAGAAGCCAGGCATAGGAGGCATAGGAGGCTTAAAATTGGTGGCAGTCACTCATAAGACCATTCAGCTGACTAACTGCAATTTGAAAGTAGTTACATAAGTTAAGGAGTAACCTGCTGCACAAGCCTGCATTGACAGAAAACTTCTTTATACTTTGTGTAAATGTTATTTAGTATAGTGCAGCGACACAAAGATGCACCAAGTCGATTGTGACCTGGATCCTGTGACAGTGCAGATATACTCATACTGAAACTGTGATGTAACAAATGTAGCGCCTACGTAGGAAGACCAACCCCTCCTTTGTCGTAGGAGGACGTGTAAATGTCTAGGAGAAAGTAAAAGTCTTGGTCATGGATCTTGATGAGACTGAAGCCAAGAACAATTTAACCGACTGACCAACAGAAGCCAGTCAGTTGACGGCCACAGGTTGGAATGAACAGTTGGCAGTTTTGAGTTGCACTGTTAGAAGCTGCTACCTTGCAATGACTAGTGAACAACTAGAAGACTTCATGTGTGTTCTAGTAGTAGTAATCTATAGAATGTAAATTAGTATACTGCAATTTTTCCTCATGTATATGCAGTTATTTTATTGGTTTGTTGTTTTGCAAACTGCAGCACTAAATGTGTCCATTGTGAAGTCACTGATTCTTGAATATGGATGTAAATGATTCCTTTTCTAGCTTATCCTGTAAGACAGGCAATTAGAAAAATCAACTGCAGTATGATTTTACATTTACTTCTTTTGTTCAGCCACATGGTATTGATGTTGCAGATGACTTGGTTAGATTCCGTGGTGTTCGATTGTGTTGCCACTTACTAGCTCATCTATCATCTCATTCACCACCAGCTCGCTCACTTGCTTTACGAGAGTTGTTAGAAGGTTCTTTATTCCATTCACATTCACGTCTGTTTGGAGCCAAGCTTCCCTCTCAAATAAGAGCACCTAGAGAAGATGTGCAACTTCTCCATGAGAACCACAAACAGGTGAGCTAACAGTGTAACATAACCATCTCAGATTGCCTTGAAAGAAACTGGCAAATTACCTATTTTTATGAATGCAGGACAGTGTTTTTTTTTTTAGTTCCCCTACTATCTAAAAGGGAATGAAAGCCAATCTTAAATTTCCACACTGAGGAAATATCATACTGAGTGCAGCAGTTTTGCTCCAGCAGGAGCACCATAGATTCAGTGCATTATGCTGGGTAATACGAGCACATTGTTTCCTGCATAATTATTGAAACTGAAAACACAATGTAGGAAAGACTGATAAGAACTAAGCAATGTGAATGTGACTGCTTGCATGATTACAGTAAAAGTGTAGTTATAATTACAGTTCCATACACTTTTTGTATGGGAGAATTGGGGCATATATCATTTTGGCAAAGGGCATAAAATAGTGTGATGGATGGAGGGAACGACAAATATTTGTTTGCTTGTAAATTACAAGGTGCATTCCAGAAGTTAGTTCTGTTTTACTATCAAAGTATATTAATGAAAACAGAGCTCAGAACTGGTAAAGGTAAATCTATCCCTGTAACAGGCCATGAAGGTCCGTAGGGTTGTGAGATGTCGAGGCTCCTACATTTTCTTTAAACAATTGGCTCAGATGGTGGTAAGGCTGTCACCCTGGCGCTGGCTGCCCTTTACCAACCAGTAAGATTCCTAGTACTCATTTCTGTTAGAGGCTGAGTTGACGTCAGGGCCATAGTGTGGCTGGAAGGATTAGGTAAATTGGAAAAGGGCACCTGATCGGGATTCGAACCTGCAACCTTCTGGTTCAGAACTAGTTTCATTTTTATTTCTGTACATGTCTGCCACTTGTGTACCCAACTTAGGAACCTCTATTTAGTGGTATTTTTCCTACTGGTAAATTGTTGTTCCCAGTACATGTTTGATTCTTATTGGGACCCGCAGCGGGAACATTCCATCTTAGGAACAAGTAGAAGTCAGACAGTGCAAAGTAATGTAAATTAGGTGCAGAAATACTTCACATGGGCATAGATAGAAGTTTAATATTGAAATGTATCTTAAATAACTAGGATATGAGAGAGTGCACTGGAGTTTTATGACTCAGGATAAGGACTAGTGATGGGCTCTTGTGAATATGATAAAGAGTCTTTGGGTTCCATATAAGGTGGAGAATTTCTTGACCAGTGTCTCAAGATGACCTTCGTTCTCTGGAGTTAGCACCTCATATCCCTTTCTAGTGGAAAAGAACTTTAAGAGTAAAATATGTAACAAAATGGCAGCCACAAAAATACAGCTACTTCGCTGTTGCTGGTGATTTACTTTATGTAAGAGTTGAAGCTTTTGTAGTAAATATATGGGGTAAAGATAAATTAAAAACCAGTGTTATAGGGATCTTATATAGTCTCCATAATTGGGATCAGGATACTTGGGTAAATCATAGTAAATAATGATAGATGGAGACTTGTCAGGAGATGGGATCATTCTCCAGGTTAAGCAGCATGGTACCAGATCTGGAATGGGAGTGAGGGCAGCTCATGTTAACTCAGCTTCCTATTGTCCAGTGGGCTTATAATGAAAATGGGTCACACTGACTGACTGAGATATATGGATCAGAGTCTCCCTGATGATGGAGATCGAGCAGGTCTCAGAAATGTTGGTTTTTAATCCAATTTTAATGCAGCATGAGAAGGTTTAAAAGTAGTCATGAATAAGAATTTGTCACTTCAAGATTAGAATTTGAAAATTGAGGTGAGAATGTGAATTTTTGTAGTGGATATTTTCTTTTGCCTATAGGCAAAATTTATAACACCACTTTTTCATAGTGCACTGTACTGCTTGTGCCATTTCATATCTGATGCTGATGCTACAGACAAAAATTCAGAGAGATGCAATGTGGACAGAAAGGTGGAGAGAGAGAGACAGATTTTATTAACAAGATTTTTGATATTCTGTCAACACAACAGTGAAAATAAACCAATCAAATTGTTTATATTGGTTTATTTAATAACTGCTACATGTTTTGGTCCACATTGGGACCATCTTCAGGCAGTTTCATTAAATATGTGTAATGTTATTGAAATATTCTAATATGGATCCATATTAGTGTTAAACATTATAATTGTACATTTAATTGTTGTGAAGTTGTAAAAATATTTCTAATTTTGAAAATTTTTAAATTCTTTTGTCATTGTGATGTAAAATTCTATGTTATTTTGTTGCACATTGTAGGAGGTGTCTTATCATCTGGGGTTTGCTCTTGTATTATATGTTTTTGGAGCTATTCATGTATAATGTTATAGTTTTTAGTTTTTATGTGTGTTTCCTCTTATCTTCCTGAGTATGCTAGATTTGCAAATCATATGATTTTGGTTGGGTAGTTTATGTGTACGGTGCAGAAGAAAAGTAGTTTTTTAAAAATTCTCCAAGTTCATGGCTGAGAAATCAACACTTAAATGAAGATTTTGATTCTATTGATTTGGTCTCAGAAATTTGAGACTTGCACATGCCTGTTTTAGAGCATTATTATACCTTCTCAATATATTGAATTGTCTACAGGGTACCAGTGTAATGTTAGCACAGCGGCACTCGTCAGTGTTCCATGCTGGTGTAATTGGTCATGGACCAAGGAAAACTTTAGCTAACCAGTCTCAAGAGCCTGACACAGTAACACACAATACACAGTTACTCATTGAAGTTATAAAGGCCTGCTGTTCATCTGGTGGAACAGGTATGTTTGTGTTGTTGAAATGGTAATACTATAATTCTAACATAATGTCTCATTTTCAAGCAATTGTTAGAGTAATATCTCTCTTAATTGCTCAGTAACTTAATGACTGATTATGAGTTTTATTCTTTGAACTCAGCTGTAGTTCCTATTTTCCTGTGGAATTAAGTCCATTGTTTGTCACTGCCTTGCTCACTGCAAACATGAACTGTTCAAGTGGCTGCTGCCTCACTTGGCTTGTTTCTGTCAATTGACTACTCTGACTGACTATTTGTCACTGAATGTAGGCATGTGCTTTGACTCAGTGCCGATCCTCGAGGGTCTCCAACTGGCTTGTTAGCAGAGTATAACATTCTACTGATGTCACACCCATGTCATGTTATGCATAGCTGTGGTCAAAGCAGCACCTAATTTGACTTTTTCAACTCCCATCTTCCTGGATGGGATACCATCTAACCCAAATTTGACCTAAAATAAGAAGTAGTGAGATTTTTATGGTCATACTTTGTGCCAGCATTTATAGCAGTTTGCACTATTCACACATAAGATGTCTTCCACAAAAGGTGAAGAGCATAATGAATGTGATTAATTTATTTTCAGGTTCTGAAACTGGTTCAGAACAGTCACCAACTCATCCTGTGTCTCTGGACGCAATAACGACTGTCTCGTTGCTGTTAGTTGAGCTAATATCTCCAGATGTTATGTACAATGGACTGCCTTGGCCAGAGGAAGAATTTTGTAAGGTATTTTACACATATGGGAGTATTTTCACAAATTGTTTCTGAGTCTAATGTAAGTACTTTGTAATCAGCATTTAGTAGAATATTAATTATGTTGTTGTTATTTATTTGAGTTCCGTTTTGAGTGTGTGAGTTCAATAAATCATTGGTTGATTTATACTATAAATATTAATTATACTGGGTATAGTTGGCATCTTTGTAATACTAATTGATTTATTGTTTACATGTTGTTTGATTTTATGATTATTGAATTAATTTGGTTAATTTCTGTTACAGTGTCTAAATCATTTGATATATTTTCTAGTAGTGTATTAACCCTTTAATCTGACGTTCAAATCCCTACTAGTTGTATATTTCAATGGTATTTAAATAGCCATGTAGTAGTAGCAGAGATTTCTCACAGCATTTTTTCACTTAAGAATTATGAAAGAAATTTTTCATGAGATGTTACAGATGGTCAAAAATTTCATGCAATATATTACTTTTTTACAGGATATTCTTGCTTCTTGTGAGCTGGAGGTTTCCTTTCTACAAAATGTCCTGTAGTCAGTCTCTCAGTTGTTGATGTTTTTGATGGTTTTCCAGGATGAGGAAATTGTAAACCAATTCTATATGCTTCCCTTGCTTTAACTCTGAAAACCGGGTGGTCTAATTTCTTTTTCATGTTCAGGCTTTCTCTGTGGATCACAAAGGGATTATGTATTGAACTATGTAGCAGCTTCTTGAATAATTTTGTGTACCACTTCATGCTCCTCTATTTCTCGGTTTCATATGGTTACAGTTTTTGATCTTTTAGATCTACTTATCACATAAATGAGTTATATTCCTCTTGGTTTATACAGGTCTTGTCCCTTAAATGCAACCATGATGTTACTGTGAAATGTGGAAGTGAATGACACAGGCTTATTGTCCAGCCACTTCATTACCATTACTCCTTGCCTCAGCGCAGAAGTCTGTTTGTTCTCTTTCAATTTTGCATCTTTTACAGCAAGAGAAACATCTTTCTGTTCAGTCAGTGTCCCATCTACATTTACACCGCTTATCTGTAGGAGACAAATCTGGTGAATGGTAGAAATTATCCATCCATAATGGGTGTCCTCTGCCAAAAAGTGGTTTCACCAATTTTGCAACAATCTTGCTTTTTAAAATTATCAGCTGAGGCAGCTCTACTTTTCAGATCTGTTGATTCCACTGTAAATGATAAATTTTCACAGGTATTCAGAGGTGTTTGAAGGATGGTAATCCAAACTTAACAGCCTGCAAGGGAATGTACCATTTGAATCCCAGACTGTCAAGGATTTTCATTTTTTTTTTCTTTTCCCCTCCAATCTGTAGAGTCTACAAAATTTGCTGTTCAGGTGTTTCAGAATTGTATCAGTTTTGAGTAATTTCTTATTTCCTTCATATTTCAAGTTCATATTTATTAAAAAAAATGAGCATTACAACGCACGCAGCCACAAAAGAAGGACACATCACAAGACACAGTATACACAAAATATAGGAAGAACGACTCCCATAGCGGAAGAATGATATAATACGTGAGTTTGAAATACGATGTATAAGATGATAAATCTTAACAAATTTTAATATATAAATTTTCGTGTAGTACATGACGATGATACATTTTAAATCATTTTATAAACAACACATGATGGCGAGCAGTGCAATAGTTTAACATAAATAACACACCTGAGGATGGTACAGTGATGCCGAAACATGTAGTGGAGTGACAAGTGAGATTGTGTGCACTAGAAGACGGTCAATACATACACATCATGGACATTAAAAAAATGTATAAATTTTGAAAGCAATTCAAGCCTTTGCTGTGATGTGTACTTATAAAAACTGGCATATCAGAAAGAAAATTTCTACTAAAATATGACTTTACTGTTAGCATTCAATGTATTTCCCTAAGCATTTGGATGTAAAAAAATACCACACAGAGTTTATTGATGTCAACGTCTTTCCAGTTGAAAACATAGGATAATGGTTTTAGTTCATCCTTATGTGTCTATGAACTTTACAACATGCCAGTTTGTTTCAATAACTGTAGCATTCATTACTGAATCTTCAAAACATAGCTCAAAAACCTCCCATGTACATCTGACAGGCTTTATGGGACCACTGTTTACAGAAAACTAAATTTTACTAGGATAGTGAAAGTTGTCAGTTTTTCCCATTGCCAGTCACTGTATCATTCCAGTCTAGGCCTCTTTGTTCTTGCATCTGATTGTGTTTTTTGAGTTTATTGCACAAGAAACATTCTCATCAGATTCAGAAACATCTACTTGACGTCCACTACCATAATTACACTCTTCTTCATCATTAGACTGTTCCAGAACTCCCGTATATTACTTGTTTCCAGGCCACATGATATACTAGCCAGTGCTATTTTGAAATCACTAAGCAGCTAGTTTGAACGGCATAGAATATTCCATATAGCTATTGTATGATCATTTGGATGGAAGAACTGACTGATACTGTGAAAAGTACAGTCTCTGATCCTCTTCTAAAGATGACAGAACAATGACAGTTTTTCTGTAAGCTTGCAGTTGGCAAGGACATGCTTGGGCTACCGCTGATAGTGTAGCTTAAAGGCTCTAAAGTACAGGTTAAATGAAGTGCTTATATTCAGTTTATCAGTGACATTTTCATAATTTATAAATGTGATATGTGTTTCTAGGTAAATTCTCTCTTTTTTATTTTTTAATTTTTACACAAAAGCCTGAGACTATAAAAAGTGGCCTTGCCAAAAGCCAGTTGAGTTATCAAGTAAAATTTTTTCACTGTACCATTTTAATTCCTCATTATTATTTTATTTGAACTGTTGCAGCGTTTGTTTAAACCTTTCAGAACACTGACAGTTTGTGGTGTTTCACAGTGAATAAATGGATAGCAAATTATCTACTTTTGTACAAGGAACTGCAGAAGATATCTACACATGCCATATCATGATAGGAAAAAACTGTGTGCTCAAAGTAAATTCTGAAAGAAACATATTTTGTTTTTAAGATCTAAAAGTTTGTGACAATGGTAATTTGTTACAATTAATATGTTGTTGGACATTATCCATCATCTCATCTGTTCTTAAAAAACCGTCCTGTTTCTTTTAAAAACACAGCGTTTCGGGGACGGGATTCTGTCCCCATCTTCAGGTAAAACCTACTCAGTTGGGTCCAATAGACAGAGCTAGCCCCTGTCTCCGGACAACTATGCCAGTTTCAGAAGGGGTTCATAAAACAAGCACAACACAATTTTGTTTTGCTGTGACTTGCTAATATTCAACTTTCACTGGATGTTTGAGGCTGGACAGAACGCTGGTAAATGATGAACCTTGAACAGGGCAACTGAAGTGATAATGTGCATATTCCTCTATAGCTTTGAGGATTTTACCTCCTTAAATACTGGCAGAAAAATACCTCTTTTCAACTCATCTGGTAATCTCATCTACTGTAACCTTTATTTCCTGGAAGTAGAGGATTTAAATCTCCCACTGCAATGGTGCTGGCAGCCAGGTTTCAGCTTGGGGTAAGGGTGTCAACAGAGTACTATTGGCTCCAGGCAAGAGGTGATATTGAGACATCAATCATATGGTGAACTTAGTAGACCATCTACATGACATCCACCATTATGCCCACCAACACCTGAAGCTGGCCAGTGACTGGATGAAAACTTGGTATGACAAATTAGCTAACTCCACAGGTTACCACAAAGGTGACAGAGTGTGACTCTATCACCCAACCCGCACAAAGGGGAAACTGCACAAACTTCAGTCCTCATGGGAAGGCCCGTACAAGGTAGTTGCCCAGATAAATGATGTGGTATACAGGATCCAGAGGAACCCTAGGTCAAGGATGATGGTAGTACACCTGGACCAGCTGGCGCCTTATCAGGGAGCTGCTCGGGATGAGTAACCTTAAGGACGGAGAGATGGTAGCAATTGGAGAATGGTCACCATAGGAAAGACTGAAGCACAAGAATCTGTAAACATCAGCCATTGCTAGACACCACCCACAACATACACGCAACCAACAGTACAGGAACAGTGTTTTCTATGTCTGCAAATGGACCATTACTATGCAAAGCGCAGGCTGTGACATCAGACAACAGTATGTGGCTGTCACATGACATGTTTCCCACGTGTCCATTAGCTTGCAAACGTTTGGTGTCATCACACATTCATTCATTCATTCATTTATT